TTATGTTGTGTATTTTGATAGTCATTATGCTGCATATTTGTCTACCGAACACTCAAGTTCTAAATTGTATCTTCATGCTCAAATAAGTATGTCTTTATTAATCTCATATTCGGACGCGGAGCGCGAATAATGAAAACTAGTTATAAAATAGAGACCCAAATACAGTTCAATTAGAACCAGACAAAAATATCTATGGTTCCTACTCCTACTCTATCCACCAACCATTCATATACACGATTTGGGTCCAGTCCAATTTGGTTCCCAACCCTGTCGGGTCGGTGGAGGCGAACCATGTGATGATGGTGACGTGGCGGTGGCTCCTTCCCTTCCCCGTGAGAGAGAGAAAAAAAAAACCAAACCGATTGTCTTGGTCCAAGAAACCGGTCCTATTACCATATTTAGCAGGTAAAGAGAGGCGAACTCATAAGCAAATCGCCCCAACTAACCATTGGCGGATTGGCCCATGGCCATCACTATGAAACCAGGGCCGATAATTTATTTTATAATAATAGTAATAATAATCTGCAAACGCCCCATTTTCTATGGTGGGTTCCATTCAAAACCCACCCACCAACCAAGATTTTTAATGTGATAAACAAGTTACAAAAAGTTTAGCCAAATAAGCAGGCCACTAGAACCATCCAATATCCATCCCCCTTCCCTTTTGGCCTTTTCCCACTTTCTTTTACCCAAAAATATCCTCCTTCACGAATTAAGATAAACCACCACCCTTTCTGTTCTTGTCTTTCTATAATAATTCCGTCCATCCTCATCTTCCTCGCCATGTCAAGCTACTTGCACCGTTCTCTAATCTCTATAATGTGGGGGAGGTGTTGTAGCCTGTATAATTGGGTTCAATAGTTGGAAACCTGAAATCGGCTGGAATATTACTGGTATGAAATGGTAGTTAAAACCGTTTCAAATTCAGAAAATGATAGACAAATCGATATGATTAGATAATTCACCGAATGCTAACCGTTTATCACTTTTCTACATGTTTTATAAAATCGGAATAAAATAAGGATTAATATACCATATCGTACCGGCAGTGCGACCTGAAAAACTTTTTACCGGAAGCAAAATTGGTAGGAGGTATTTAGCGGTATAATAAAGTTGAACCATAATTAAACAACAATTTTAGCAAAAAATACCATACCGCTGACTTTTCCGGTACAACCTCATTTCAATAATTGGAATAAAACCGGTATAGCCTTGGTAAACCATACCATTGCCCAACAATAATAACAAGTGTCATTTCCTGACATTGGAAGAATCTTGATCGACAGTCGACACTCACACATGTCCCCATATTTGCTTCCATTGATCAATCCCAACCCCACCCAAAAAAAATCATGCCATGTTTCATGTGCATTAAGAACAAAACCAAAGGGAGGAAATATACAAAGCAAAAAAGAAAATATTCTGATGATGAGCAGGCGATTGAGAATTGAAGCATATCCAATTTGATCAGTTTGTAACACGACACTAACTTGGATATAATTTCAACTTTGGTAACTTGTATAAATGTAAACTGTTAAAATAAATTAAATTTATTTTGGGTCATTAATTAAAAATAAAACGAAAATACAAAAAAGGCTACCGGCTGCCCGTGCACTTTGTTAAGTTGCACTCGTATTGGGCTGGGCCGATTGATAATGGGAGGCTTTTGTTTATTTTTTTAAATTAATGCTCAAGCAACCATCTTTGTAATTTAAATTAGAATATTTTGTTACCAAAAAAATTAAAATATTTTAAATAATCTTACAAAAAAGAATACATAATATTTTGAATAAAAATCGTGGAAAGTTGGTCCATTTCATCCATTTTCAATTATTTATTAAATAATAAACAAACATCATTATTAATAATTTCACTTAAATTTAATTTTCAATTATTACTAATGTAATGACAATTTACAATTATGTAACAGTCAAATCATAAGTTTTATGTAAGACTTCCGTAATAACTTCACAGTTTATGTAATGCAAGGTTAATATTTATTACGTAAAAGAAGCCTCAATTACGTAAGGCTTTCGTAATGACATTTTACAACTGTTACGTGAAATACACATCCATTACATACGGTTTCCGTAATGACAGTTGTTTCTTACGTAACAATTAAATCAAAAGAAGGTAAAAAAATCAAGTTACCTTACTTCGAGACATTGTAGGAATTTGTTAAACTATGTAGATTATGTGTCGGGCTTTGGTGTGGCTTCTCATAGTATTAAATATATTGTTTACTAACTAGTATTTGATTTGCAATCGTGTTTAGTAGCGTTCAATAAAAAAACCTATTAACAGAATCTAAATTGCTAGGAGATTTTAACTATATGAAATTATTTAATCACAATTAAACTTCAATTTTAGCAGAGAATGCCATAATGCTAACTTTTTCTTGGTATGGTTTTACAATTTTTTTGCTTTTTTTGTTTTTTTGAACATACATCGTGGCTCGGGTTGGAGCAACGTGTCAACCCTTGTTTAACGACGATTGAACTATGATTTTAGCACAAAATATCATAATTCTAACTTTCCCGGTACGACCTTCGATATGGTTTTACAATTTTTCTTGGTTATTTTTTCTAGAACATAAATCCGGACTCGAGTTGGAAGCAATGTGTCAAGCCTGATTTTAACCACGGTCAACTATGATTTTATACAAAATACTATAATACTAACTTTTTCAGTACGACCTTAGGTATGATTTTACTATTTTCTATTTTTTAACATAGTTCGAGGCTCGAGTTGGAGCAACATGTCAAGTCGTATTTAACCACAACTCAATTACGATTGTACCGTACTAGCGGTCCAATCGAAAAAATCCTAACAGAATCTAAATCGGTAGGTGATTTTAGCGGTATAAAATTATTTAACCACGGTTACACTACGATTTTAGCACAAATGCCCTAATGCTAACTCTTTCGATACAAACGTCGGTATAATTTTACAAATTTTGATTTTTTATGAAGATGCATCGAGGCTTGGGTTGGAGCAAAGTTTCAAGCATGATTTAGCCAGTATTGAACTACGATTTTAGCACAAAATATCATAATGCTAACTATTAGTAGTGTCTGATGTTGTGAATCTGGTTTGACCCGTTGACCCGGTCGAGTTCGTGGGTCAAGAATTAATAAGTATTTGTGAAACAATACGGTATTGGCGGTTTGACCATAAAAATATTCTACCGGCAGGTGATTTTAAACGTATGAAATAGTTGAGAATCACGGTTGAATAACAACTTCGATACAAAATACTCTACAACTAACTTTTATAGTACAACCGCTAATAGCAAACCTTCAAATTATTCTCAGGGAAACAAAACAAAAAAAAAAGCCACAACTTAAAGGGCACACGCATAAGTGAAAGGAGAGGAACTCTTTCACCATGTATATATTGTTGCAGAATTCTTGCTGGTGAGCTAAAATAATGACCGCCGGTTCATATTAACAACACTCCTATGAAACAGTCACACAATTGTATTAATAATAATAATAATAATAATAATAATAATAATAATAAAAAAGGAGAGGAACTCTTTCACCATGTATATATTGTTGCCTAAAGATATTCACAAAAAGTTTGGGTGTGCCTACTGTGACATGCATGTCATGGTGACTTGCACTTTCCGGTCGACCTCAGTTAGGATTAGGTCGACCTCATTTAGAATTCTGTTGACCTCATATAGGATCTGGTCGACCTCATTTAGGATTCGGTCGACCTCATATAGGATCAGGTCGACCTAATCTGTTGTTTCAGTGTAAAAACAGTTCATGGTGCCTACTTTGGATATTCATATCATACAATTGGCTAGATGGAAATTGAAGACTAATGACTTGTTTTGAAGCTGGAGTGTCCCTCTACATATTGAAGTGATTGAGAGCTCGATAGGAAGTCCAGAAGACCATTTTTGAACCTTATCAAAAGGCTATGCCAAAAGTGGGAAACTGCCTAGAAATGGCCAAGTATGGAAACATGTTTGTGAAGCCTATTTTGGAGCTCAATTCGAGAAGCATGAATGCAAGTCGAGTCCAGGAGCCTCTACCACGTTAAATTAGGTATGTTTTTATAAAAATTCAAGGCATTGGATGAAATATTAGATATTTGTAAGGTTTCAAACAAAAGGGTCGAAGTTGCTACGAAGGCTGTTTTTCTGGGAGACTTCGTGCACAAGCAAGCTGCCAGAAAAACAGCCTTCATAGCAACTTCGAGCCTTTTGTTTGAAGTCTTAAAGATATTCAATCTTTCATCCAATGCCTTGCCTTTGTATAAAAAATACGTAATTTAATGTGGTAGAGGCCTTTGGACTTGACTCGCATCCATGCTTCTCAAATTGAGCTCCAAAGTAGGCTTGACAAACACGTTGCCAGACTTAGCCATTTTCAGGCAGTTTTCCAGTTTTGGCATAACCTTTTGGTCAGGTTCAAAAATGGTCTTCTGAACTTTCTATTGAGCTCCCAAGTACTTTAATGTGTAGAGGGACACTTCAGCTTCAAAACAAGCCTTTAATCTCCAATTTCCGTCTAGCCAATTGTAAGATATGAATCTCCAAAGTATGCACCATGAAACTGTTTTTACACTGAAACAACAGATTAGGTCGACCTGATCCTATATGAGGTCGACCGAAAAGTGCATGTCACCGTAGCAAAGTACAAAAAGTTTTAACTTGTAGATCATTCAAACCTTTAACCTTTGTATAAAACACTCACAAAAAGTTTAACTTGTAAAGACATCAATACGGTAGAAAAGTTTGAACTTGTATTGAAATGAACTTGAAATGAACTATAACCATTTTGTACTAAGTACAAAAATTATCACCAAATCGTTGCAAATTAATTGATACAAAAGGTTTGTAACCGTTGCAAATTAATTGATACAAAAGGTTTGTAACCGTTTATGTTTTGGTTATATATTCCAGCCATCCACAATGCTATAAAACTCTAATCACTCAAATGAGTCAAATCCAATGATGGATCACAAATTAGGACAAAGTAAAAATGAACACTACATATATTTTATTGCAATGAACACTAAATAGTTGTCCACATACACAGCCACTTCTCTCTCCCTACACATAAACCACCTCCCCACCATCCCCAAACACCAAGCAAAATCATTCACTTCAATAAACTAAACTAAAATTGATCGGTCTTGTTTTTAGATTTTGATCAAATAAGTACCAGTACAATAGGGGAAGTCGAGTGCCACCACCACCAAAAAAAAAAACATACGATCGAGTTGTAGCCAAATTTCAGTTTGAGGGTTTGTAATCCGGTGCGGCACATCAGCATCGGGTAGAGCTGCGCTTGGCGGGATTACCCTTCGATGAGTGGACACGTGGTCTCTTGCCTTCCGTCTGATTCTGGCCGCCTAGGTCAAAGCTTGGACCATCCCCACCGCCCACCATTTCCACGAACATCCTTTGCAGATCTTCGAAACTATCCCCCTAATTAATTACCCAAATCAAGGCAAATTACTAAAATCAATAACTTACCAAAAAAGGAAAAACAAAATACCATTTTAACAATCTAAAAGTAATCATTTAATTTTACCTCATCCTTGACATTATTCATCATAGAAATCATCTCTTGCATGAAATCACAAAATTCCTGCCAGCATTAAAAATAACATAAGAATTAGACAAGAGCTTCTAGGGAGGGCAAACAAGTAAATGAAAAAAAAGTAATTAAATTTTTTATCCACCGGCCCAAAAAGCAAAAACGACGACGTTTGTAAGCAAGAGAGGGTAAAACGCGGCAGGAGGAAGATAATTTTATTTCCCCACGGCATCTGGAAACCCACCTCGTCTTCTTCCTCAAGAGGATCGTAGAGCCCGGCGTCGTACATTGACCTCTTCCCCGGGTCGGAAAGAACTGCCCACAGAGCAAATCGGGTCATCATCATCCACCGGCGCGAATCTAATCTACGGAGTGATAGAGAGGAAGAGTGGAAGAACTTCCTTTTTCGGGAGAAACGAAAAGGAACTCACCGGAGTAAGCCTCCTGTATTTGCTGGAATCGACGCTCCGCGTCTCCGGCAGCTAATCCAGGGTTCCTAGCCCGTTTGTCAGGATGCCATCTCTGCAATAAAACGAAAACAGGTCCCGATTTCAGCTGAAATTTCGAATTCGATGCCAAATCGATTACTCAATCGAATTGGGCGTTTTTTTGGGAGTCCGGACTTAAAATTACCATGGCGAGGCGGCGGTAGGCGGAGCGGACGTCGGAGAAGGAGGCGTCGTTTCGGATCCCAAGGACGGCGTAGTAGGAAGACTGAGCGCCACCGTTGGAACCTCCTTCCCGATCCATCTCCCTACTTTTCTCAATCCTCTTCCTGCTATCTGTTCATACGTGGGTGAGAAATCCGGAACTCAACAACCCGACGGAAGCCGCCACCGGCGAATTAGAACAAGGAGAAGTAGTGGCTACAGTTTGTGGGGGAGAAGAGGACGATCAATCGAAATCAATTGGGTCCGGCAATGGAGATTCCGGGGGCTTCTCTTTTATGGCTCTCTTGAGAGGAGTTTTTGTGTAGAGAGAGAAAAAATATCTCCTACGTTTGGAGAGAAGTTGTAGTTATAGCAAGGGAAGAAGGTTCGAGATCAAGTCTCTCTGTTCTCTGATAACCATCTACCTAAGCCAATACATAATCTCTCTCGCTAGATATTTTCGCGGGAGAGTGAAAATTGGCGCTGGAGTTGGGAATAATTACTTGACACTGCCATTATGTTTTTTTCCCTAAATTCCCCCAACTTGGCCACATTAGTCTTTCGCTTTAAAGATTTTAGTCGCCTAGTTGATAAGTGCCCGAGCTGGGAAACGGTGTGGTCTGATCATATATACGGTCTATGGTCCAGACCAAGAGGCTGAAGTATAGATCGCATACCAGACCACAGATTATACGGTCCGGTCCAGACCACGCTTGTGCGGTTTGGTTCGGTCTGGTCTGGTCTAGATAGACCACTCTCAACGAAAAATGAACAATTTGTTTCGTCAACCACAAAAAAATTGAACCAATAACCAAGAAAAATAATTGTTATTTGCCTTAAAACATTAATCCTAACATTCATGAATAATTTTGGTACCCTAATTCTTAATACATAACAAAGATTTAAAGTAAAAGCATCTCAACTTGCACCATAACGTCATAAAAACATTAACATAATGTCATATTGAGACATGATTATCTCTACTCTCTGGTTAAATGTGGTTGTGAATGAAGGAGAGACGAGATTCACAAAATTAAGGTTGAGACTTGGGTGTCGTTGTGGGAGTTGGGAGAGTGGTCAAATGGGCTGTTAACACGTATTGACAAGTCGGTTGGGTCCACGATTTGGTCCGGTAAACCGCGGTCTAGACCAGACCAGACCAAGAGATCAAAACATAAAATAATACAGACCATGGACCAGACCAGATCATACTTAACGGTCTACAGTCCAGACCAAATTGTACGGTACGGTTTGGACCACGGTTTTTCTAACGGTCTGGTCTGTTTTCCCAGCCCTAGCCCTCGATTAGTCTTTCGCTCTAAAGATTTTACAAATGAGGAATTTTACAATGCTAAATAGTATTGGTGTTATAGTTTTTTTTTATGGTACAATATGAAATTGTACCTTTAACATTATGATACAACTTTAGATTGTAACTATATATTTTGTACAAATTCTTTTATGGTACAACTTGAACTTGTACTTTTATTTGATGGTAAAACTTCAAGTTGTAAAGTTGTACCATAACATAATGATACAAATTCCTTTGTGGTACAACCTAAACTTATACATTTAATGTTATGGTACAACTTTAAGTTGTACATTAAATCATCGATGCTATATAGCATAGTAGAAGTGCTCTTTACAAGTACGTTATTGCTCGAAATATTGATATGTCTCATGTCTGAATCTGGAGATATGATTACATAGTATCGAGAAACTTAGTGAATATTTGTGTGATAATTCGTTATAATTATTTGTCTCAAGTAAGTACATTTCTTCGAATATAGTAGACTTTCTAAACATAAGTAATTGCAAACCAAGTTTTTTATTATATGTAACGAATTATCACACAAACATTCACTAACAGACTGTTTGGTACCAAATGAATCTAGAATTCCTTTTATTTTAAAATGAATTATCATGTAGAATTAATTGCTAAATGAATTCTTATATTTGATATGTCATATTTAAATATTTAGGAATAAAATAAAATGAATTCCCCAGCCATGTTTGACGTACATTTAGAATTGAATTAAATTAAAAGTTTTCAACTACACCTTTATTAATTTCCAGCATAAACAATATTCATCGAAAATTCGTCTTCTAAAAAATGCCTTTGGTTCCATATGTAGAATATCAAAAGTGTTATTGTGTGTCTCTATTCTATTCATTAGTTCTTTCCGAATATTTTCATTGGACTCTACATTCTAGTTGTGACTTCTCAATATACTGATACAATCGTAGAAATATCAAATAACAAGAATATGCTAGTAGAGTTGCAATCAAATTATTGTCGACGTTCCTCATATTGCATGGATTGGATTCAAATAATACATGTAGAAGTAATTTAGTTAATAAATGAAAATAATTATGTAATTCCATTATAATTAGCAAATTCTTGTGAAATTCATTTGGAAATTTCATCATAATTACTCGGAATTTCTATAACTAGTTCCAATTCCATAAAATTCAAAATTTAGAATTGAAAATGAATACTTAAAAATACCAAACATAAAAATATTTCATTTCAAAATGAATTTCTCAGAATTTATGAAATTCATTTATACGAAACCAGTTGCGGACCCAGGATTGTTGAACAGGAGTGTCGCTAAATGAAGGAGAATCGGCTATAATTATTAAAGAGGTGTCGGAAATCTCGTATTAAATTTTTTTGTACCAAAAATTATAGATTATTCACAAAAATTTCAAGCGAAGTGGCGACACCCCTTAGATACAAGTAGGTCCGCCCCTGTACGAAAAGGTATGTAACTATGTAAGTTTCTCGATACTATGTAACGAATTATTCATAAGTACATTTTTTCGAATCTAGTAGACTGTCCAAGCAGGAGTAATTGCAAACCAAGCCTTTTATTTTATTTTGTAATAACGGAAACTACATTTTAGGATTTCAAAAGAAAAAAAAAAAAGAATGCCAACACATCTCAGATCTCACATAATCCCTTTGGATGTAATTTTGTAGCCACCCAGGTAGTGTACGGTCATTAGGCCGAGAGACCTTTCCGTGGCGTGTATGAGCTGGGACGACGGGATAATTCAGTCCGTTCGAGGAAAGTTGGCTTACGCGTGGGGTGAGATATTTTAACCGTGGCATAATAATAATAATAATAATAATAATAATAATAGAACATACGGTAATCACCACGTCGGAATCAACGTGGGATCTTAATTTAGTTATTAACAACCATCCAATTATAGGTGTCAAAACTCAAAATATAGCCCGACCCGTTTAACCCGCCCGATCAACCCGATCCGCAACCCGACCGCAACCTAAATTGACTAAAAGTCAACAACCCGTAACCCGCCCGACCCGCAACCCGATTGACCCGCAACCCAACTAACCCGCAACTCGACTAACCCGCAACCTGATTAACCCGAACCCGATTGACCCGCAACCCGACTGACCCGCAACCCAATTAACCCGAACCCGATTGACCCGAACCCGACTAACCCGTAACCCGACCGACTCAACCCGAATTTCATCTAATCCACTTGAATAATTATTAAAATATACAATACATAGTTTTTCAAAATAAAGTTTTGGGTATGCCTACTATGACATGCATGTCACCGTGACATGGACTTTTCGGTCGACCTAATCCTGAAGGCGGTCGACCGAATTGACTAATTTGGGCAGCACGAGAAAGCATTGCGGTCGACCTCAAAGACCACCTGGTCGCCGTTCTTAGCTTAAGTTGTTATTTTTGGTTGACCAGAATAAACCTCGGTCGACCATTTTGTTGGCGTCAGAAACAACATGGTCGACCGTAAAGGTATATAGGTCGACCACTTGATGGCAGTCATTAACAACATGGTCGACCAGATAAAGAAAGAGGTCGACCAGATAGACGATAAGTGTTCTATCAATTTAACCAATCATTTGACGTAAAATGAAGATCAAGTGTTGGTGTCGAGGTCGACCTAATCCGGTACGAGGTCGACCGAATACAAGAAAGTCAACCTATGCCCCATGTCTTTTTTGCTTATGTATGTCGATTTGTGTGGTTCTTTTGCTCGTATAAATTACGCTTTAAACCATCATAACTAGTCATAAATAATGATAACAAGGACTCATCAATTATGCTATGAATTGAGGTCGACCGCAATGCTTTCTCGTGCTGCCCAAATTAGTCAATTCGGTCGACCGCCTTTAGGATTAGGTCGACCGCAATGCTTTCTTGTGCTGCCCAAATTAGTCAATTCGGTCGACCGCCTTTAGAATTAGGTCGACCGAAAAATCCATGTCACGGTGACATGCATGTCACCGTAGCAAAATCTTAAAGTTTTTCATTCTAAACTTAAGTAAAATTATTTTTTCATTTCGTATAAAAATTTTTAAAAATATGAAACTCACTTGATATTACGTATGTTAAGAAAATTACAAAAATTGAAACATGAAGGTCACTTGAGATCATGACAATATTAATATAATATATAAATTAAAATTTTGGTTAATTTAACTATTTAATAAAATTATCAATTAAATAAAAATAAAGTAAAGTAATGTATTTGGTAATTTGATGTTTTTAAAAGAAGAGGGAAATTTTGGTGTATTCAGTTTTTGGGAAGAGAAAGAAGAGGGAAATTTGATTCTTTGAATTTTTTAGAAAAGAAACAAGTGGGAATTTCGGTGGTTTTGATATGAGGGAAGAGAAAGAAGTGGGAAAATTTGATTTTTTTGATTATGAAAGAGAAATAAGGAGGGAAACTTTTGACTTTTCAACTTTTTGTAGAAGGAAAGAAGAGGGTAATTTGGTTCTTTCAATTTTATGGAAGAAAAAGAGGAGGGAAAATTGAGTTTTTCTAATGTATGGAAAGAGAAAAAAGGAGGAAAATTTTAGTATTTTTGTGAAAAGAAAGAAGGAAACAAATTTGGTGTTTTCAATTTTTTTATTTTTCATAATTTTAGCTTTTGAAATATTAATCTTTAACTTTTATATGGAGGGCATGACTAGTTAAAATTATTCTTATATGCTTTGAAGGCTAATATGTATATATGTATTTAAATTTTTATGGGCTAATAAATAAATTAACCATTAGTTACAACAATTTATACTAAACTTGATAAGTAATCTTTGACGGTTCGTTGTTTAGGATATAAAGTATATGGTATGGTTTTGACGGTTCTAAGTTTTTTATTAACATATGTTCACTTGAAGTCATTTGAAGTCTTTAACGGCAGGAGATCCCTTTTTAATTTATGTTTATGGTACGTGGTTAGGGTACAAGGTATGCGGTGTAAAGTATAGGATATATGGTTAGGGTATAACAATTAGCAAATATCACTTTTTATCTATGGTTTGAAAATCAAAGTATGAATTTCACTTTTAAATTAACTATCCTAGCAAAATCACAACTCAATGACATATGGTTAGGGTATAGGTTATGTGGTTAGTGTATAATGTATTGATGGTTTAGGGTATACAATCAACAACATATACTAACTTAATATTGTTGATTGAGAGTAAAGCTAAGTGTATAGGATATATGCTATTGAGTAAGTTATGATTGAAGTCACAATAATTTGATAGCTAATCTTTAATGGTTCAATTTTTAGGATAATTCGAACAATTTTACA